GTGTAAGTAGAGTTAAAGGTAGAGAACACAGACTTTGGGAGCTAACAGCCAGAGTCAGAGGAATGCCGTATAAGATCTCCAATTTTTAGTTTGTCACATACTGCTCTAAAGACAGGAGGCAAGGACCAGGCGACAGATCGTTTACTGAGGAAATCAGGAGATTTTTATATAATTTTATGTACATAATTATTCGTTAATATTAGCAGAGAAACAGCATCTTCCGATTGGTTGTTTTCTCACTGGAAGTTATTCTGTCATCTCTTTGTGGCTGTTTCTTTGAAGGTCAGACCATATATCTGCGAATCTTATCCGACTACGCAAAGTCTGCTGTGATTGGTTGTTGAGTTAGTCTTTGTTCTTGTTTTTTTCTCGTAACCAAGATATAGGACGTAATCACTGACGTAAATTGATGTAAGAATAAAACTTGTGCACTGTGGTAGAGTGTAATTCCATTATGGGTAAATTTTGTCTTGATAAAGTCTCATAGTGTTATACAGTAATGTTTACTGATGACCTTGATATGATTATGAGCAATAAATTGTGCTCGAAACGTCATCAGTAAACATTACTGTATAACACTGTGAAACTTTATCAAGACAAAATTTACCCAAAATGGAATTGAGGTAAATGGCCGTCTACCAATTTTGGCTAACAGACAGCTCTCACCACACTGCCTCTAACCCGTTGTAGATAAAGTATTTGTCCAGCAGAGATGAGATTTTCTGGGTAGAACTATTTCTAATTTCAATTGGAAGGCGGTTTCAAATACAACGGTATTTCACAGTGAAGAAATTGGATCTGTATTTTTTATGACAGCGGGGCACTTTAAAAGATGAAGATTTATATTTCCTGGTGAACCTAAAGTAAAGTCATTGTGGGGGAAATATATAAGCCCCTTAGTAATCCTTAATGTGATTTTTAGCTTGAATTTCAGTCGTCATATCCATGAGGGTTCCAATTCGAATATGTTACATCTGCCATAACAAGAGATACAAAGAGTTTTTCCTACTAGTCGTTTAGCAAACGTCCTTTGTAATCTTTCTAATTTGCATCTGTCTTTTATGTAGACGCTGTCCGTGATAGAGGGACAAAATTTGGGTGAGTGCCTTATGCACACCTTGTACAGCATAATTTTGGACATACACGTCATAAAGTTTCTGTCACTTTATTTGTGTGTACATGTAATTAATTAACTGTTCATTTTGTCCGCTCCCTCAATACTGTTCGGTACGTTTTTGTCTTTTCTTGAGTGACAACGGGTTTATATAATTTTCTTGGTGTAGTTGTATGATTTATTCTATGTTTTAGAAACAGATAAAATTATGTCAAGTCACTTTGTTTTTAACTATAGTGAAGCCAAGACTACAGTCATCAGCAATTAGATAAGGTCTGCCATGTTTAATAACGTCGCAGACGTCATTGAAATACAACAGGAATAATAATGGACCTAGGACACTATCTTGTATAACTCCACTTGTTATCCGAACGGGGTTGGATGTGTGAAGACCTAACCTGACCATTTGCATTTGATTGTTTAGAAACGAACTCAGACAGTTTAACAGTGAACCTTTGATCCCATAGGACCGGACTTTTGATATTATGATACCATTATTAGAAGACGGAGATTATCTGAAAAATGTGATTGATGTATTTGCGCTATACATTTCGAACAATCTGATCACACACTTACTTGTCAAGTCAATATATATGGAAAAGTTGAATTAAACAAAGTGACAAAAAATAATTAAGAATAAGAATAAGAGTAATAACAAACTGTTTTTGAATACACAAGGGGGGCTTAAGTTTATGAATGTCTATAGCCTCAGCGTATTTCAGTAAACGTCCTTGACCGTTTTTATAGATGACCTTAAAGGCTGAGTTAACATCAATCTTATGGTTCATCTCGATTAAATGTTTAGCTATAGACGAGTAAGTGTGTGATCAGATTGTTCGAAATGTATAGCGCTAATACATCACATTTTTCAGATAATCTCCGTCTTCTAATAATGCTATCAAAATTTGTAAAAGGGACTAACTGTTTTAAACTTTTGATATTAGCCGTCGGTGGCTCACAGTCTCAAAGGCCTTACTTAAATCTGGGTAAACAACTACTGTGATCATACCGGAATCCTTAAGTTGTGAGATATGATCGAAAAATTGTAAATGGCATGTCATGCAAGAACGCCACCTCATGAAACTATGTTGATAAGGAGTGATAAGTTTCTCTTGAGAGAGGAGGTCAAACACGGCGTCTTTTCCAGAACCCTTGAAATAGCAGAAGTTAGGTTAATGGGTCTGTAACTCATGATACTTGAACGAGAGCCTGAATTATAACATTAACTTAGTGTGCGTGGTCTCCCATGCATCTGCATATGTCCCAGTTGACAGAGAGGTAGAGAACGCTTCGAGAGGAAGAATGGAAATGACTTCACCAACGAGTTTTTAAAAATGTGAGGGGATCGTATCACGACTAGGGTCGTTTGAACTTTTAAGAGAAGCGATGGCTTTCTGAGTATTATTGAAGGAAAAGGTGATAATTTGTAGTTTTTGTGAACGTAAGGTGAATAGAGGTTGTGGCGATGCACTATCATCATAAGTGTAGGATTGTGAGAATTAGAAATTTAGAAGTTCACAAATTATTTTAGGGTCACTAGCAGTTTCACCATTTTCTAAAATGAGCGGTATATTCGTTTTACGAGAGTTTACCCTTTTGCCATAAAGCCCACAGATTGCGGTGCATTAAGAACTATCTTTAAGAGCTGTATCTTCTTGTCTGAGTAAGACTCTGTCGTTGTTTTCTTTTAATTTGAGATAAATGTTCTGCATATTCACAAGACACGAGAAGTCATTTTCTTTGTAGTACTGCTAGTGCAGTCTTCATAGTCTAGGCCTTAACTTTCTAGCAAAAACGTTTTTTATGTTTTGGCTTGAGTTCCCTTTACATTTAGGAACAATTTCATCAAAACACAAAGACACATTTTGGTAAAAGGCTAGTAGGTTAGTGTTTAAGTTGCTACTAGAAAGAAACAGGTCCCGGTCTAAGCTTAGAATGAAGTAGTCAGATAAGTCCTACCTAGATTTTCCAAAGCACATGCGTGTTTTGCGTAGGGTAGAGCATTTTAATGAGTGAAGCCTAATACTTAGAGAGAGCAGATTATGGTTTCATGTTCACTACCTGGAAATGGGTGACTGACTTCTATGGTAGATAGGGCGACGTCTTTAAAGAAAACTAACTCCAGTATGTTGTAATTTCGGATAAGTCTTAGAATACCTTGTGTCCACCCACATAACTCCACTGCATCTGAGAATTTACTGTAGCGGGGAGGAGCACTGATGGGTACACATGGGTCTTCAGGCATGTTAAAATCACCTCCAATGACTTTATAAGTGAAGTTTAACTCCAAACTTTTGTAAAAGGATGCAGTTATTTCACTTAGCAGTTCACTGTCGTGATCGGGTGGGCGATAGATGCAACCTAATAACACTGTTTGCCGTTTATTGATGTAGAGTGTTGCCCACAACGTATCACGTATATTCAGGCTGGGTTCATCGTAGTGTACAACGCTGCAGTTAGATTTTATATAGATAATGCATCCCCCACCCAGCCCAACTGATCTGGTATTTCTGAAAAATGAGTAATCTTCGCAGTGAAAGAAATCATCATTTAGTTTGCCTGTGCACCAAGCTTCAGTAATCACCGGTGCTGCTGGTTGGCTTACAAGTAGTAAGGATTGTTTGTATGTCAACTTGTTTACAGCTGACCTGGAACTAATAGGAACTATGTTAGGATTAGCTAGGTCAAACCTTAAGATTTTAGCCGTGTCTTGAAGTAGCTAGTGATGAGATTAGCAGTTTATGCGGATGAAATATGAAATTAGAGTATAAAGATACTCTAAAAAATACTATGAATGCAAAGATGCGACAACAGAAGCGTTTAAGTAGACACTAACTATAACGGATAATTCTAACCGGAAAAGCTATATTTTATGCAAGAACAGGACTCAATATTTGATACTTCCAGGGAGAGGCCTATTAAAAAGTCGCCTACAGAGTAAAGAGGAACTGAGGAGTAACTCGCGAAAAATTTACAAAACGTTTGAATTGTCACCACTCAGAGGAACTGTTGACTCAATTTCCTGTACGTAAATGTGGCTAACTAAAGCGCTCCATGTATGATAAATGTGACCGAAGTAATAGAGAGAGCCTTCAAGTTGCTGCTAAATTTCTATGCGGTTACAAGCTCATTCACATGCTTTATCTCAAATGAATATGACCCACATTTTGGTGTACTGGGTAACATCAATGTTAGCTCGCAGTGATAGCAAAATTATGAACTCTGTCATAATCCAAACGCGATATGCGAGTTATTAAACCCCAGCCTAACAAACTGTCCTACTAACGACGATAAAGGAATGGCAATAGTTTGATGCCAACAGACCAACTTATAATTAATGATGAGTTAACATTGCTAAACATAGCATCTCTTCGAACCATATATAATTCTGGTCCTGACGGAATTTCAACTCGCCTGCTGAAAAGAGGTTGTGCAGTTATGCAAATAATCCTCCTGGATAGCGGCAGATAACTTAAAATTCAGAAGTTATCATCCATAAAACCTTAGTACGAAACGAAAACTAATGACGTAAGTTCACTTGAAACAGTAATCATTGCAACCAATATGCTCAGAGTGCACTGCACGACGCGGACACCAACACAACATGTCAGGAAATGAGAATTCTTATCAATCCAGAAAATACATAGCACAATTTTATCAAAAATTATTGACAAAAAGCGAAATTTCTACCAACATGCCGGATAAGTCCAGCCCGTAATACTGATTGGCATTACAGTGGGTGCTAAATAGAAGAGGGAAAGTTCAAAGGGTGTTCCGATTATCACTTACCAAAATAAAATTTCAGAAATGTTGAGCAACTCAAAGTTATCTGAATGGTTGATTTTCGAATAAATTGCTAATTTAACATCACCTCAGTTATTTGACATTTAATCAAATTTTCCATCAGTTAGACTCAGGACACTGGATTAAACTGTGCGCTACGTGAGATTAATCATGACTGTCGCTCTTCCAGCCGAAAGTGCTAGAGAGAAAGCACTCAGTTACTACCGTCGCAAACTTGTTGAACACAGAGGAATAGATGCCAGACTCAAAGAAGGTAAAGTTACCTTCTCGTAATAATTAGTTACCTAGCTCGGGAAAAATCAAAAGCTGTTTCGAAGGAGTATGACAAGGCGGAGAATGACTTAAAAGCTTTACAAAGCGTTGGACAGGTATATAATTGCTTTACTATTATATTTCTCTGCAGATAGTAGGTGATGTTCTGAAGCAGTTGACGGATGATCACTGTAAGTTGTATCCAAAAGTCCTTTCGTGTTGTGTTTAACTAGTAATATTATGAAACGATGTCTAGAAATTCAAATTATTAGTTTGTTATAAACTATTTAGGGATTTTAGATGGCCTGTTGTGGATGTTTGCTAAGTTATGTCTAAACCAGATAGTTTTTCAAAGCAGTGATTAACTCATCGTGATCTGAATAACTACGATACCATGAGATGCTTTGCAATATGTAACTCCGGTTATCTTTGTAGGAATAAATTTTAGCTAAATGCGAACAGTAGACACTGGTTTGAATCAAATATCTAAACTCAATACCTACCGACGCTCCTATATTCATATGCATTTAAGACCACTCGAGTACGTATGCAGATCGACCACCAGTTAGTAAACACTATTTTTTCTAAAGTCTTGGTCTTTTAAGGGAGTCACCGGTTATATTCATCTAACACACGTTACTTTATGTGTACAAGAAGATACGGCACGAATTTCCATGTAATGGTTTGTGATACTGTCCAGACATGCGGATCGTAGCATATGGTTGTCTTAGGGGACCACTCCTGTAGCCCCTGACTGTCATATTGACATCAAAAAATGTAAGGAGCTGATGATAATAATAAGTTCATACTTCATGATCTTGTTGATTCTGGAACCCATCTGTACCATGTTTGAAATTAGGGTATTCCAACTGCCCTAGGTAAACAATTTCCACCAGTAGGGTTATGAGTGCCATTTCACTTCTGTAAAAGCATCAGTCCCTTGAAGACAACGGACATTAGACACAAAGTCTTTTTGAGGAGAAAACCGCAGTCTACTAAACGTCGACTGTTCCAGGTCATTCGTGGCAGCACCTACAGTGATTATCATCTAGTTAACAATTTATGTGTATCAGGTAGTTTCCAAGCAAACACCTAAGTTTTAAACTAGAAGATATCAGGCTTGAGGGATTGCAGTTCGAATATAGAGAGGATTAGACATACCAAACCTATGACTGCCAGTAAACATAAGTTTCGCGTCAACTCGGGTTTCAATGTGGCTGAATCTAAACATGTAACACTTACATACTTTGAATGAAATCCCTAGAATGTTAGGCAAAAATTATTTTCATTTAAGATGTAGTGATGCTGTGGGGTAGTGGTTCTCAGTGACTGGTGTATAAGTCAATGTTAAACAAGTTACATCAAAATGTCTGTAAACCTAGTTGACTAAAGTTAACGTGTGCCACTTCTGGCATTTAGACAATATCTGTTGATGTTTAACAGTCGTATTTAAATTGTGTATTATTCAGGATTATATTTTTCCCCACTTTTAACTACCAAACAACTGGTTTACTCAATCTGTGTTTCATAGTTATTGTTAAAGCCAGCAATGGACCGCGATATGTTGTTGGTTGCCGACGAAGTTTGCAAAGCAGCAAGCTGAAACCTGGTACAAGAGTGGCATTGGATATGACAACATTGACAATTATGCGTCAGCTACCTCGTGAAGTGGATCCACTTGTTCATAACATGTCTGCAGAAGATCCTGGTTCTGTGTCATATGCCTCCGTTGGAGGATTGGCTGATCAAATTAGAGAACTCAGAGAAGTCATTGAGCTTCCTCTTATGAATCCAGAACTGTTTCAAAGAGTTGGTATAACCCCTCCTAAAGGTTGTCTCCTATATGGTCCTCCAGGAACGGGTAAAACCCTTTTAGCACGCGCTGTAGCCTCACAGCTTGATGTTAATTTTTTGAAGGTAAGCTTATTTTTTCGGCGTCTTGTTTGATCCTCTTTCTTTAGAACATGCTAGATTATTTTTTTGTATTATGGGTCTTATGTATAGCAGTCTGTCAGAAGTCAGTTACCCTCACTGACTCATATTCAATGTATACTATATATATATATATATATATATATATATAATTTGGGGAAATGCATTTCGAAGTTAATCACTTATAGGAATAGATTATAATGAGTTTTTCAGCTGGAAATCTGTGGAATCCAAAATAGTTTCATTACGAGACCTAGTGGTCGTGGGATCGATCTCACATGAACTAACTGGAGCACGCTTTTTGAGTATTTTGAGCTATGACCGAGCATGTGTAGTGTTCCCAGCTTTACATAATTCTTCAGCTGATGTCAGTCTATAACGGAAAATGAAATTATTTAACTGGTAGTTAACGTCCTAACTATAATGAAGACTAGTATTTGGTGAAGTACAGAGTCATGCAGTTTATTTTTCCAAGATAATTTTTATCGTGAACAAAACATTGTAACCTGTTGAAAATCCGTACTAGGTTTTCTTATCACTATAGTTTAAGGGTATTAGCAAGTTCTTTAAGATAATCATTTTAGATTTCCTAATACACTTCGTTTAAGAATCTTTATTAGTCATAGGTCTATGGTTTGTTATCTTTTTAACTTATGACTAACTGTAATGCATTGCGATTTTGGGCTATTTAGTTTATTAGCCTCATTAGCTACTATACTGTAACTCATCTGTGATTTCGCTATTATTGTCATTCATCACGAACTTATCCTTTCTCCCATACATTGCCGTTTATCAGTTTCCTTATAAATATTCTGTTTCTCTTCTTTTTTGTGTGTATGTATGTGTGTCTGAAGTGTAGGCAAGTGTGAGGGCATACAAAAGTGAAACGACCTCTGAGGAAAATGGCACCATAATTAGCTCCCAGTATAGACGACTGGGACGTTGGATAGAACACTTTGGGGAGCAATTCAATTGGCCTACAGCCACACTCAACTTACCGAACATCCAACACCTCCCTGAATGGGATATAGAAACAGGTCCAGCGTCCCTAACTGAGGTTACTTAGGCTGTCACTAGCCTGAAACGAGGCAAAGCTGCGGGACCTGATTGAATGACTCCAGAGGTATTTAAGTACGGTGGAGACAGTTTACTATCTGCGTTAACTGAGGTTCTAGGCAGTGTCTGGGAATCAGAGGAAGTCCCGTCGGGTTGGTGTGGGTCATTGATTATCCCTATATACAAAGAGCGAGACAAGTCTTCTTGTGATAATCACAGAGGGATTAGCTTGACTTATGTGGTATCTAAAGTTCTAGGCTCAATAATAATGCGTAAACTAAGCGGTCGACGGCAGGCACAAACACAAGAGAACCAGGCAGGCTTTAGGCCAGGAAGAGGGTGTATTGATCATATCTTCACCCTTCGACAGATTCTGGAAAATGGGTGACTCGAACTGCTGCACACGGAAGCGAATTTCTGTGTTGAAACCAGTCAGTGTCTGAAGTGTTGCAACCAATGCACTCTGTGCACTTCAAAGTATACTTCAAGATACTTCACTCCGCACTGGACATCGGTGTAAGTAAAAAGTGGTATCAGTGAATATTTCCATAATGATGTAAATATTTGTTGAACAACAACATGAGAAGTAATTTAATGATAATGCAGTATATTTCTTAAATCTCCGTAGGTTGTATCCAGTGGTATTGTAGATAAGTATATTGGTGAATCAGCTCGTCTTATCCGAGAAATGTTCAACTATGCACGTGATCATCAACCGTGTATTATTTTCATGGACGAGATTGATGCTATTGGTGGTCGCCGTTTCACTGAAGGTACAAGTGCTGATCGTGAAATTCAGCGTACTCTAATGGAGTTGCTCAATCAAATGGATGGTTTTGATGCCCTTGGTCAGGTATATTAGTTATGTTTATATTGAAAATTAATTTACTTGCGGTTGTTTTTTAAACCTATTAATTGTCAAATAGCGTGGAGACGTATATGTTTTCGAAGTGAAAGTTAGTTGTTGAAATCCAGACTCTTGAAACAAGTATTTAGACAATAATTTCCATGCACTAGAAGCCTCATAGTTGGAACTATAGGCCTTGTGAAAGATGGCAGTGTATGACTCCACGTATCTGCGTAAACTGTTTAACCGTTATCTGTTTTCATCGATGAGTTCTTCACTCAGGTTGGGTCTTCATAATCACATTCTGCCTTTTTATTCATCATTTTCCTTTGAAGTAAATGATTTCCAAACTAATTTTTGTAATTCTAGTAATAGAATAATTTTTTTCTCTCCAACAAATACAACTATCGCTTATCGTTTTGCGGTAATCTGAATGACTGACTGTCTGACTAATCAGCATAAGACCTTGCTCAGGTGTGCTTCAATTCAGTTTACCATGATTCGGAAAAGCACACAAAAGTATAAAAAAACATGTGAAACTACAAATCAATTATGTTGCCTTATCCTACTGGCTGTCGCTACCTTCATAGTATTATGCGCGTTAATTGATGCTTATATGTGCATTGTAGGGGAGTGTACAGTCTTAGGCAAGTCAGTGGTGACAGTTGAAACATCTGAGTTACTTGTAGTATTAAATGTTCATACTCACAGACCTTCAGACACCTAAAATCTTGAAACTCTTACCAATGGAATTATCCAGCAGAAATATCTTGTCAACAGGGTAGCATTATTCTGAACTTGGAACTTGTATACCTACATATTTTGTTTGATGTCTTCACTACCGCTCATTATCCCTTTGTCCAGTATCTATCTATCAACGGTACCTGTTAATTGCCTCTTTTTTATTATAGGTTAAAATGATCATGGCAACTAATAGGCCTGATACACTTGATCCTGCTTTACTTCGTCCGGGACGTTTGGATCGTAAAATTGGTAGGTGATGTGTGATTATATAAAATGTTCATGTCTGTGCTTAGAAATCCCTCTACCGAACGAACAAGCTCGAATGGATGTGCTCAAAATACACGCTGCTCCAATAGCCAAACATGGTGAAATAGGTAAGAATAATAATTTAGCATCACATTTCTTCCTTCTCTTTCATTCTTAACAACAAGATAGTATTGAAAATTGCAAGTTCCTTTAAACGGATTACTAATACACTTAAGACCAAGTTTTTATGACGTTATTTGGTTTCATATTTATTGACTAATAAGTCAAAAAACCGTATATGTCTGCTTGAACAATAAAATTAATCTTCATACACGATACGTTTGACACAGCATTAATGCTGTATGACTGACTTTGAGGAAGCTATAAACCGAGTTTTATTCTTGGTTTTAAACAAATGGACTGCAACTGGTGAAATAGTTCCAGGGTCAGGAGGAGGAGGAGAGATATGTATCTTTTTAGTTGTTTCCAGATATTTACGGTTTTCAAGCGCTTTTTGTGAGGTATTTCCACACAGTAGCTCCGTTGACAGGTGACCTCTCTTTATTAATTCGGAATGTTTCAGAATAAGGACTATTAACAAAAAGTATAAATGAAATAGGTTTCTAAAACAAAAAACCCTCAGTTGAGTTATTATTTAGTTACCTATTAATCAGACAGTATCACTTGAAAGGATTGTCATTTTTATAAGGGGTCGGATTGCCTTCCCACAGTTGGTTGTTCTCAGACACTTGTTGTTTTGGTGTCTAGAAAAATCTTTCGAATGATGGAAGACCCACAGGATACTACATTTTTATTTTGAAGGTATTTAATGAAATAATTTGGCATGTTTGTTTTTTGTGTATAAGCTTTTCATTATTCCCGCGTATTTCTCATGTTGGAAAGTAATATTAATAAGCGTAGTAGATTGGGGACTAGCAGTGGACAGTATCCGAGTTCCTATGTTTGGTGTCCGCTTTTTTTAATTATCATTAATTTTTCTTTTCACTTCACAGATTGGGAAGCAGTCGTTAAACTTTCCGATGGATTTAATGGCGCTGATCTGCGTAATGTTTGTACTGAGGCCGGTAAGTCGTCATCCCATACTGTGTGATAACCAGTATTTGTAGGGAATTAGGACTGTGTTTTTTTTGTGATGAAAAATTTACTGAGATATTTGTTTTAATTACCATTACACAGTACTCAGTTCACGTAGTTCTCTGTATTCAGTTAGCTTCATTTTTTTACGGTTGTGAGACACCTGTTGAAAGTAAAAGATGTAGAGAGTCTATAGCTGTCTTTCACTATATGTGTTTTATTTCCTGTATTTGGTGACATAATATGGTTCTGTGTGGAGTGTTGTATAAGGAGGGGAATATCAATCGATGCGATTGCTTATTTGAGATGGCTTGGGTATGTGTTACTTACGTTGAACGACAGTCTTTGTCGTTGAGTATAAGATCGGATTAGAAAAGAGGATGATCAAAATATAGTGGCCATTAGTGAAGTCTCTCTCGTGTAGAGAGTGATTTTCTCAAGTGTTAAGAATCATAGATGAATCGTAGATGCATTCACTATTTGGGACATTTTAAATTCATGATATTCTTCATGTTACTATTTCCACTTCTGTAAATTTTAATTAACTATAGTCTCTTCGCATTTATTTTTCTAAGTATAATTCTTTTCATGAAGTATGGCAACTTAAGTTGCTGCACTTTGAGACAAAGTTCTACACTGAAAAATTGCTTCAGTTCAGTTAGTTTTCTTTTTTACTGACTTACACTCCTCTTTTGCGTTAAAGTTTACTCATGAAGTATATTTTAGGTATTTTATTATTATGACTGTATTTCAACCATATTCTGAAGTCCCTTCTTAATAGTTATTTAATTAGGCATACAGAAATAACCATAAATTTCAGAAAATTGATCATTTTCTTAATGTTCTGTTTGTGCCCTAGCCATTTCGCTTGATGAGTTGTTAGCAAAACTAAGTAATCCTTAATTATGAATTGAAGCCAGTATTTACTTTAAAAAACCTATCCAGACACACACAGTTGATTTAATAGTGTTGCGATCATTTTGGGCAAAAAGAAATCCAAAAATATCTTGATTTTTCTTTTATCTGTTTTATTCATACAGGTATGTTCGCAATACGTGCAGAACGTGATTATACAGTTGAAGAAGACTTCATGAAGGCTGTACGCAAGATAGCTGATGCTAAGAAGTTGGAAACTAAGTTGGACTATAAACCAGTTTAACAGTGCATTCTTCTTTCTGGTTAATGTCATTGATTTATATATGCTTATCATCAAAAAAAGAGAACTTCTAGACAGTTTGATTTATTTTATGCTATTTCAGCCAACAGTAGATACATATGTGGTAAAAACAAAAGATAATTTTGTAGTCATCGTATTTTTGGGAGGTTATTGATTAGTGATTCAGGCCTATGTCTCATATAGGCACATAGATGTGTCTTCAATGAACACTTTTGATTACTGACAAAAAAAATTATGCGCTGTCAAAGTTGTATTACTAAAAAGTATTGGTTACCTAGGTGTTCTTCACTGGAAAAGTTCTCTGTCACATAAAATATCATGTTATCTTAATTCAATGAGCATATTTCGCCTGAATAATATTTTACTTATCAAGCATAGTGGCTAAATGCTTGTTTAGGTATTTGGTCACGGACAATACTTAAAAAGATGAACAGCTACTAAATATCCTCTTGCAATTTGAGAGAAAAATGATCCGTTGTGACTGCGTTTGTCGATACGCCTCTGTTTTTTAAAGAAAGAGTATAATTCATGAAGAGGAGATCAGGTTAAATATTTCACCAAGGCTTTTCTAAGGAATTGTCAGACCCGTACCCCTCGCTTTTTCATTATTTAAATTCGTTGTTAATAGTCAGTCTTAATCAAATAGTGGGAGCAACCAAGTTGATAAACCAATATAACTTTATCCACCTCACTCATACCCCCTGTTCTTTACCAGTACCTATATCACACATAACGAAAACTGTTCGTGTCATGTATCGAATTCAATTCAGCCATCAATGGGGATGGATATGCGTATCCTGGATCAGGAGTCAGCTTGGATGTCACTTTGTAGTAAAGAAAAACTCTACTGGTCCGGTTCGCCGACTAACCAGCGAGCTTTTAGTTTCGAAGAAAATTGTAAACACCCTTTGTTTAGATAGCCAATTATGGCTATATTTAAAGTTGACTAGACTACAGTTATTTAAAATGAGTTTAAGCCAGACATCAACATGAAAATCCGGGAGGTTTTGGAGGTATTTCAATAGGTATCGATGGTACCCAACAATATCATACCTAACTTGAGAATAGTGTTTAATTGCTGCCGATATTTTTTGAATACTCTATGAACCTAATATCACCACAAACTATGTACACCGTGATGGCGAGCTACCTAGAATGGTGGCCACATTACAACCTGACTGATAGAATTCAGTCTGCACCAAAGAAAGGACTAGACGCATCACACTAGTTACTAGTGTCAAATCAAAATACTCTATGAACTGTGAGCTTGTAGACCACTTATCCTAGTCGGGTAGTTCCATACCTTAATTATTTGCTGGCAAACGAAACCTTAGTATATAGTAAAACTTGGGCACTGTGGTAGTGTGTAATTCCAGTAAATAGTATTATCTCACTGTGTGATACGTCTGATAAACAAGTTAATATAGAATAACAAAACCTTAGCATTAGCCTCCGCCGTCTTGTTGTATGGGCGTTAGGGAATTCGATATGATGTAAACACAATGTAACTAAAGTAGTCCTTGATGGTAAGGGTATACTGCTTCAAGCGATGCTATAATTATTACATTACATCAGATAACACACTTGGCACTAAATTCAAGTCTGGCCGGTAGCTGCTACCTTGACATAGTGGTCAAACTTCCAAATCGAAATGACTCTGATGAGATACACTAGCTGAAACATATGTTCTTGCAGGAAATATTGAAGTTTGCGTTCATGTTATCCGGGAAGACGCTGAGAGTTTCGCTGATACACCATTCAGCTCGGAGTACCCAACTACACTAGCAAACATTATGCTGTTGTACTCTGATTGGTTTAATCGACGTTCAGAACACCTGGAATTTTTCCTTGACTCAAAGATGTTGAAGAGGTACTTTTTGAAATCTCAGTCTCGTACAGGTGGAAAATACAAGGCAATATTGGGGGTCATTCAGCAAACTAGTCAAGAACTAAAAAATAAATTTTGTCACGGAGAAACAGCAACTCGAAATTTCAGAGGGTATATAAATTCAGAGCAGTCCGAAAATCACCCTTGGATGAAATAGTTGAAACATCATTTCAACATGGATTTTGTCACGGACCAAAATCAGTGTTTTGTTAGTTTATTGCATTAGGCCTCATTCAGTGGTTGCTCACCTCCTCCCCATCAAAATTTATGGTCCCGCATTTTAATTCATGCCTATGCTCTCAACTGGCGTCGCATTATTATTATTATTGTTTCCTTTAATTCCTAGAGGAACATAGGGCTTCAGCCGTGCGTCTCCATTGCGTTCGGTTCTCTGCTAGAGTCTTCACCTGGCTCCATGTCTGCCCACACGTTTTCATCTCCTCTTCACATGACCTCCTCCAAGTCACCCCACCCTTGCACTGACGACCAACTCGTCGCTTCCCTTTCGGGTTCCACTCGAACAATGGCTTGTCTAGTGATGTCACTTGATGGTTTCCTCAGAGTATGGCCAATCCATCTCCATTTCTTCCTGCCTATTTGTTTCACAATTGGTTCGCTCCCAGAGATCTCTATTGCTGATCTATTCTGGCCGGCCATCTGATCTTGAGTATTGAGCGAAGAAAACTGTCAATGAAGGTCTGTAGTTTGTTTGGGATGCTCTTTATGATGCGCAGTGCAAGTCTCTGATCCGTATAGTAGCACTGACTTCACACTGGAGTTGAAAATCCGGATCTTATTTTTGATGCTGAGTGCTGCTGACCTCCAAACAGACTTGAGAGTAGTGAAAGCTTGTCTTGCTTTCCCGATTCTTGCTTTGATATCCTCGTCAGTTCCGCCTGTAGTTGAGACGATGCTTCCCAGGTAGGTGAAGGAGGTTGTTTCTTTCAGGTTCTTCCCATTTATGCTGATTGTTGTCTGTTGTTGTTGTTGCTGTTGGTGGTGTTGCCCAGGAATTTTCATCAACTCTGTCTTCTCTATGTTCACCTGAAGTCCTATCTTTGATGCTTCTTCTGCCAACTTGTTGCTTTTCGCTTGCATATCTTCCAGTTTGTGGGAAATCAGACATATATCATCGGAGAAGTCCAGATCCTCCAAGTTTTTTGTGTGAGTCCATTTTATGCCTGTTTCCTCATTGCCCGCTGTCTGTCGCATTATCTAGTCTACTGCAATCAGGAAAATCATTGGCGATAGTAGGCAGCCTTGTCTTACTCCTGTCCTCACTTCGAAGGATTCCGTGAGTTTCCCGTTGTGGATTACTTGGCATGCTGTTGGATGAGATGTATAATTGTCGGTGGCACCCCATAGTAGTGAAGT